ACCTGGGACCTTCTGGGCTCTGGCCTCAGGGACTGGGTGAAGGGTGGGTGTCCCCCACCGGGACGCGGAGGCGGAGAGCCCACAGCATGGGAAGGGGCTCAGAGGACTCCTCACGTGTGCACCTTCCCCTTCCCCTCACAGATCTTCCAGCAGTTTCCGCTCTCCAAGCATTCCCAGTGCCCAGTCCTCCCAGGTTGCCGTTTGTCCATCCACCTACCATCTCTCCATCCGTCCTTCCATCTCTGTCATCTGTTCACTCATTGGCTCAATAAATGGCTGCCGACAGCCCAGAGCCAGCATGGGACCAGGGCAGGGACCCAGGAGTCCAGGTGGGCGCTCAGCGCTGCACCATGAGGCCGAAGCGGGTCCAGAAGGTCTGGTTCACGGCAGAAGGCGCAGCCCCGGGCTGCAGGGGTGGCAGGGGCAGTGGGGAGGTGTCCCCTGGGTGCCCGCCTGTGTCTTCGCTCCTACTGTCCTCCCCACTGGGATGTCCACCCACCTGTCCACCCCAGGCCACATCGGAGCCTGTCACACTGATCCTGGGCCTCCCCTGCCCCTCCCGGCCCTCTGGCATCCTACCCCCCACCAGGGCTGCACCTCCCACCCCATGGCTCACCAGGCAGAGATCTCGCTTTTGTGGCTGGCACCTTGCCACAGGCTGCATGTTTGCATTCCCCCAAATTGATCATTTGAAATCCTCACCTCAAGATGGGGGCATCAGCCGGGCTCAGTGGTTCAGCCTGTAATCCCACACTTTGGGAGGCTGAGGTGAGTAAATTGCCTGAGCCCACAGGTTCGAGACCCGCCTGGGCAACTTGGCACGACCTCATCTCTACAATAAATCAAAAAATCAGCCAGGTGTGGTAGCGCATGCCTGTAATTCCGGCTACTCAGAAGGCGATCGCTGGAGCCCACCAGGTCGAGGCTGCGGTCGTCAGGAGTGGCCACTGCACTCCAGTCTGGGCGACAGAGTGAGACTCCAACTCAAAAAAAAAAGGATGGGGACATCATGACACGGGGCCTCCAGGAGGGGTTGAGGTCATAAGGATGGAGCCTCATGAGTAGAATTCGCCATTATAAAAGGGACCCCAGAGAGCTCCCTCGCCCTTGTGCCACAGAGGACACAGAAGTAGGCGTCTGTGGGCCAGGGGGTCCTCAGTGGACGGTGGGTCTACCAGACCCTGATCTTAGACTTCCAGCCCCAGGACTGTGAGGAATATACGTCACTTTCGAAGCTGCATGCTGTGGCGTTTTGTTAGAGCAGCTCAGGGGAGCCAAGACACAATTGCCCTGACCACCACTTCCACCTGGCAGCTGGCTGCTGGCCTTGAGGCATCCGTGAGCTCTGGTTTCCTGGGCTCCCTCCCCGCCCACGGGGGTTGCCACAGGGCCTAGCAACTCCCCACAAACAGAAGCCCCTCTGGCCCAGCAGGATTCCAGGAAGGCGGGCTGACTCATCCTGGGCCCGGACAGACATTTCCAGGGCTGTGCTCCCTGCAGACCCCCGCCGCCCTGGGCAGCCCCGGCGGCCCTCTCCTTCCACAATTCCTGCCTCCACACTCTGCCAAGGAAGTTCTGGCATCTGTAGACCACCAGCAAGTCCAAAGTTCAGGTTCTCTCAATGAAGTAAACTGTTCGCATCTCTTCCAGCAATTAAACAGAATCAAGGCACTAATTCAGAGGCTCCAGTAAGAGGCGGTAGCTCTCGCCTGTAATCCCAGCACTTTGGGAGGCTGAGATGGGAGGATCACTTGAGCCCAGGAGGTAGAGGCTACAGTGGGCTGTGACCACACTACTACTCTCCAGTCTGGGCAACAGAGGAAAACCCTGTCTCTACTGAAAGAAAGAGGGAGAGAGGAGAAACCTCTAGTAAGTGTAGCCACGTCAATGAAGTCGGCCTGTCCAGCTGCTCTGATACCCCAACTCCATACCCACACACTCCCCAGGTTTCTGAGGGATTGAATGGCGTCCTGCAAGTACTGTGGTGTAAAAACTATTCCCTGCTGGCTCAGACTTTGCACTTGACCCTGCAGGGAGCACCTGAGATGTGGAGTTCTCAGGGGGTGGATGTACTGTTGAATAGAGCGGGTGTGGTCCCCAGGCACCTGGCCCAGGTGAAGGCCTCACAGGTTTTCAAGCAAAACCAAGGCTGGTCTCCTCAGACCCAGACAACATGTAGCTTCCCCAGAAGAAGGGGCTCAGAGGACCTGGTGCTCACGGTTCTCAGTGTCCTCTGAGCTCAACCAGACATCCCTATCCAGGCTCCGGCGTCCGACTCCTCACTCGACGTCTGACTTTCTCCTGAGAAGCCTGGGGAAGCTGTGGCTGCGAGTTACCCAGTGACTTCGAATGCACAGAACTGACCCTTGCCATTGGTTGTAGTGGCACCCACCCTGAGGCTCTGAGGACTGGCGTTCCGTTAGGTGGCCCCAGCGTCCTCCGGTCCATTGAGCAGCCCCGGCGTCCTCTGGCTGTGACTCAAGCTGAGGCCTGACTGTAGCTGGACGCTCCGGGAACCCCTAGCCCTCTAGGTCACGGTCATCCTCATGGCCGTGACAACCCAGCAGCACCCAGGCCTTCAAGGCCCTCAGTGCCTTTGTCTCTTCCCAGCCTACGCGGGGGTGGCCGGGTACTGGCCAGATGGCAGTTCCTGGCTCGGGGTTAGCGGATCATGAAACCCTTGCCTGCTTTGGACCACCAGCCTCCCGTCCCACTGGCCAGGACACCACAGACCAAGCCCCAGCTCCCATCTCCGGGCTGTCTCCAGGGACCGCTCCTAGCTCCATTGTCTGTGACAATCAGGCTCCACTCAGGAGACATGCGCCAAAGAGTGATTCACATAGACTCATTCAGTAAGCAGAACGGCTCATAGTTTCCAAGTTGTGAATGATGCCACAGGGTGAAAACATCTCTGGGGACCATGGAGTTACTACAAAATGTCAAGACAGACGACCCAACCTCAAGACAGACCGGTGGTACTGGTGACGACAATCGATGTCACCACACCTCTCAGCTCGGGGTTCAGGCCCCTGCACACATGTCCCTGCTGGCCCCATACTTCTGTGCCTGGTGCCACCTACACTTTCTCTCTCTTGTTTGACAGTGATAGGTTGCAAAAACCTTTTATAGGCGAGGGGACTGGGGCTAGGCTGGGGGTTCAGGGAGGGAGACCTGGGCAGTCGGGCCACCTGGCCCCTTCCCTCTGGTCCAGGGTACTCAGGGCCAGATTTCAGAAGGCGGCTGGCAAGGAGGATGGGGGTGCCTCCCAGCCTGGCTCTCAACCAGAGCCCTGTGCCAGCCTCTTCCAGCCTAAGGGGGCACCTCGTGCCACCCGCACGTGGCTGCATCGACCCAGGGGAGACAGCCTGCTCCTACCATGTGAAGGTGGGAGGACTCGCCTGCTGGGTGGCACAGGCTGCAGCAGGGTGTAGGACCTGCTTCCCACAGCGGGCCCAAGGGTGGGGGAAGAGAAGACGGGCCCAGGGTTACAGGCAGGCGTCTGAGGGCCGCCCATGCAGCATGGATAAGAGCCACCTCTCTCTGGACGTGCCCTGGTCCCAGGACTGGTGTGGGAAGGGGCTTCCTTCCTCCTTCCCACGGCTGTGTCCTGGACACCTGAGCAGAGGCTGGCTGGGCCTTACATGCCCACAGCCCACACCTACCACCGAGGGGGCGGGCAGGGTGTCCGCTTTCCCTGACCTCACCAAGGAGAAAGGCTTATCACATCCACCCTCGGGGCTGTACTGAGCTCTGTTGGAGGAAATAGTCACATCTGCAGACGCTGGGTGTGCACTGCCCTGGGCGTCTGTGGGTCCATGTGCGTCCAGGGGTCGGGTCAGGGCTGGGTCTGCAGCCCTCTCGGCCTGTAGACACCTCTCTGGCCTCTCTTGGCTGGCAGGTGTCAGGCCAGGACCCCAGGCCTCTTGTCTTGCCTGGAAGTGGGGAGAACCCAGGATCAAGACACCCCAAGTATGGAAGGGAAGGTAGGGCTGAGCTGGCTGCTGGCTTTGGCAGGGGTGGGGGCGGCTGGCTGGGCTGAGTGTGGGGTCAAGCCTGGGGTATGGGAGGAGTGCCGTGTGCAGGCCTGCCCTGGGGGTCAGGGTCCATGCAGCCCCTGCCAAGCATGGATGGGACACGTGTCTGTTCCTCCCTTGGCAGCCTTATGCTTTGGATACTGGAGCACAAGGCTGCACCATGACACCAAGAGGGGGCCTGCTAGCCCCGGGGTGCTGGACAGGTGGACTTTTGAGGACTGTGGCCACTACCTGGAGCCATGGCGCTCCGAGAAGGAGCCACCAGCCGACCCCTGGGACCCTGGCCCACTTCCAGCTCCCTGAAAGGGCAGTTTCAGCTGCTTACTTCCTTGACCTTGACCTCGTTCCCACTTGGCCAGCAGCCCAGGCAGCCTCGAGGAGGGCCAGATGGCAGCTCCTGACTCGGGGCTGATGTCTAAGCCTGAGGGCAGGGGCGCCTAAGGGGCTGCTCGCTGGTGGTGTCTGGGTCTGTGCCCAGCCCGGGTTGTAGCTCGAAGCTGACCCCTCCTCCTCTGGGGACCCGGCCGATGTCAGGACATCCGAACATGGACAAAACTTCAAACAGCACCCACTGAGGGTGCTCCGGCAAGGGGTGGCCATGGGGAGCAGTGTGTCATGGGACCCTTTGCTCCATGGTCCGGCACCACCCAGACACCCTTATAGGTCCCCAGGGGCCTGGGCAGGAGGGCTCATCCCACAGAATTCTGAAATGGAAGCCTGTGGAATCGGGGTCCCAGGGTGGGGGGGCTGCTGCTCTGCTCAAGCCCCGTCCCCATCAGCAAGCAAGGCTGGGGTGCCTGGTTCACACTCTGAGCACTAGGGGACCCCTCCCAAGTCACAGACCCCCCCCAAGTCCCCCAGCCAGGGCCGCCTGTCCCTGGGCTCGGGGTCTGACTCTCACGTGTTTCCCTGGCAGAGGGAAGCCGCCAAGCCCCAGGTTCCTGTCTCAGGGTGGCGCCCTCCTTGGCAGCCCCACCCCCATCCCAATGAGCAGGGACCCCTCCCATTACGCCCTGGCAAAGCCCCCAGAACCCACCACCTTTAGAAACTGAAGTGAAGAGCACCCAGGGCAGGTGAGTAGAAGGGGCTGAGCTTCCTTCCCAGCAGCTCCTGGGCCCCCTTGAGGGGTCAAGAGAGGGAGGAGGGACTGGGGAGACGGGGACCAGAGGCCAAGAGGGTCCCCCACTTGGCAGGGCAGCCTGGGTGCCTGGGTGCCTGGGAGCTGCCCTCTGCCCCTCCCCCACTCCAAGGCTCCATGGAACTCCCTGACTGAGCAGGAGTCACCACCTCCAGGGAGCCCATGCCTGCATCACAAAGGAGGCCTGGAAGCCTCCCTGGCTTGGACCCACTTGAAACCGCTGCTCTCCCCGCCCCCATACTTAGCCTGGCTCACCCCAGCTCCCAGCTGCCTGGACCCAGCCTTCAGGGACCTGCCGTGGGTGATCCAAGGTGAGGTTTGCTGAGCTAGAGGCCTCTGGCCGACAGACAGCCCATTTCACGGGGTCCAGACAGGGCCCCTTATGGAGGGACACACCATCTCCCCCTCTGCAGTAACCCAGAGAGGAACCCAGACACTCTGGGGAGGCGGGCCTCGGGGCCTCCTCTCCAGCAGAGAGCACACGCCCACCCGCTGTGGTGGCGTGGCTCCATTTGAGGTTTGTACTGCTTTGGGGCACTTGGAGTCTGTGGACAGCTGCGGGACAGAACTAACAACATGTGGGTGGAGTGACCCATTCTGATCAAAGTAAGAATGAGTGGCATGAAGATGCTAGGCCAGGCTCAGGCGTGTCTGACGTGACTGATCCATTCATTCATTCATTCGTCACTTATTCATTTGTCCGACAGATGTTGGCCAATGTCTCTGGGGTGGGTATGGGAGACTCAGTGCAGCAACCCTGACAGACAGTGTCCCAGCCCCACGGACCAGAGGTTCTCATGGGGACAGCAGAAGTGGGGACATGTGGTGCAGGTGCCGGACCGTGGGTCAGAGGTGAGACACAGAGCAAGGGAGCGCTGAGGCTCGGGGCTAAGCTGAACCTGGAAGCTGGGTCAGGGGAGGCCCTGCAGGAAGGTGACCTTGGTGGGGATCTGGGGGGCTACCTGAGGGTGGTGGGAGAGGGCGAACGGGGTGAGACAAAGGGGGATGGGGCCATGGGGGTCCTGGGGTCAGAGCAAGGCTGGCTTGTCGGCCAAGGGGGTGGTGCCGGAGTCCAGGGGGATACCCACGACTCCAGTTAAGGACCCCTAAGTCTTTGCTACTGGGGGCCATTGGGAAACGGACCCCTCGGGGGTGGGGCAGGCCTAGAGCAAGCAGTGGTCAGAGGAATGAGGAAGGGTCAAGCTCGAGCATCCCTGGAGGCTGAGGACTGGAGGGGTGGGGCTTGGCGAGGGGGCGCCCTGGCGCAAGGTTTGGCTTGAGCCGACAGAAGCCTCGGATCCTCTGGAGGATGCCCAGGTTCGGAGGATATCCCCGGGGAGGCCTCAGGCGTGTGCTGATGGGACCCCGTAGGTCAGGGAGGCGCTGGTAGGAAAGCAGAGTCCAGAGACAGGGAGGCGGCTGAGGGCGGGGATCGGAGGGGAGGAGGGGACAAGCGAGAGGTTGGAACTGAGGAAGAGCCACTAAGAGAGTGGCTGTGCCACCTTTGCGGGAACTGACCTGGCGGTTTCTAGGCCTCCCACCCCTCAGATTGGAGCATTTGGCAGGTGATTCCTGGATGAGTTAAGAGACCATCTAGGACCCCATTGAGTCAGGGACAGGACCCAGGCAGGGCCCATGGGGGTCATGGAATAGAAACATCTGGCACAGACACTGGGCAGGTTCAGCAACCAGACCCTTACCTGCCTGAAGGTGGGACTGGGTCTGTCTTCCTTCTGCTTCTCTAAGATTCTCAGCCCGCCTGGGCAAGGCTGAGGCAAGACACAGCAGGTGTGTGGCTGCGTGTGACCACGGCAGGTGCTAAAAGCCCAAAGTGCTCAGGAGCAGCTGGCTTCTTCCCTGGTGCTAGGCAGCTTCCCGGGCAGAGCTTGGAGTGCCAGCAAGGGGTGCATGCATGTGTAGACTCATGTGTGCAATCATACACATGTGCACACCTAAGCACATGTGTGCATCCATGGGCACATCCATGCACACAGTCATAGATATGCACACACCTGAGCACACCCACACACACACGTGCACACTCACACCAACAGACCTACACATGCACACACCCGAGTATGTGCACACATGCTCACAGGCACACATGTGCTCACACTTGCCCATGTGTGTACTCATATGCACACAAGGGCACACGGACCCAGGAGCATCCTGAGCCAGCTGTCCTGTGCCCCTGGCCCTCCTTGCTGGCTCCTGGCCTTTCCCCAGCCCTGTGTGCTGCCCACTGTTCGGCGGGCTCTGGGAGGTGTCCCCTCCATTGTGACAGGTGCGGGGATGACAAGGACTGAGCCTGGAGCTGCCTGGCCCTGCAAGGCCCTTTCTGGCCATGTGGTCACCACCCTGTGGACGCCGATCATTCTCATCTCCCCTCCCCAGTTCCTGGGCTCCCACGGGAAAGTGAGGCCAAGTGGCCTCCCCAGCAGTGCCCCTGACCAGCACCCAGGCCTGCAGTTGCAAGAACCCCTGGGCAGGGCCCCTGGAGAGCACAGGAGCCGAGCCTCAGGGTCCGTGGGGGACCCCAAGCTGGGAGCATGTCAGTCCTCGGACCACCCCCTGCCTGCCAGAGAGGATTAGAGAGAGGCTGACCTGGAGAGGAGACTTGCCGTGGCCAGCCAGGGCCTGCCCCCGCCCAGTGCACCCCAGGGCACTCAGAGACTCTGCCCGGGGGTACGGGTGTGAGTGCCAAGAACCCTGAGACCCAGGTGCCTGAGGCCGGGTTGTGGCTGGAGAGGGACACGGGCAGAGCGTCCCCAGAGCACCTGGCGCAGCTCCCAGCCAGCATCGGCCCTTCCAGCCTCCAAGGGCTCCCAAGCGGCCGCCTCCCAGTCCTGGGCCTGCAGCTGCTCAGGGAGCGTTTTCCCGCCAGAGCCTCCGATGGGGAAGTCAGGGAGCCCCGAGGGGATGATGGAGCAAGCCGACCTGTCTGGACGGAAGCGCCCCGCTGTCCTGGAGGGGTGGCTGCTGCTGTTGCTGCTGCTGGCGGCGGGTGCCCTGGTGACCCTGGGCGTCCTCTGTGCTGACGGTAGAGGTGAGTGACCACGCCCCCCGCCCCCGCTCCCAGCGCTCACTGCACCCCTGCTGGAGGGTCTACGTGCCCCCAGCTTCAGCCTGCCTGGCCGGGTGGAGACAGGTGGGTCTGCGCGGGCGCCGGAGGCTCCAGGACCAAGCTGCCGACTCAGAGCAGCCGCGGGAGAGACACTGACCTGCAGGGAACCCGCGGCCCCTTCCAGAAGGCTCTGCCTGGCCGGGCCCAGCAACTGCCTCTGCAGCTCCGCACCCACCCGTGCCCGCCTCTGCGGGACTCCTGAGATGCCAGGCCAAACCCCCTCTTCCCCCACCCGCGACCCCTCCCCCGCCGCAGCGCAGGTCCGGCCAAGTGCGGCTGCAGTTCCTGGCCGGCCCAGCAGCAGGAGCCCTCGTGCCCCAGCTGGGGACCCACCAGCTTCAGTGTCCCTCCTGATCGGGCTCACCTGGCGGCCTATCCTCCCTGCCACAGCCATTCTCCTCCCCTACCGCCGTCCCACGGGAAGCCCCGGTCCCGGGGACCTGGTGGTTTCCAGACGGGCTTTGCTTCTGCAAGACGGTGAGAGAGAGCCGGGCTGGGACCCCACTGAAATGGAGGTGCAGCCAGGGCAGTCTTCCTGGTGGACCTTCCGAGGTGCCCCAGGGACTCACCACCTCAGAGCCCTCCCTTGCTTCCCTCCCCCAGAGGCTCTGGTGGGGGAGCCGGTGCTGCTGCCTTCTCAGGTGGAGCACCCAGGCACCAGGCAGACCTGGCCACCTCATAGCCACCCCCACCCATCCCTGGGCACAGCCTGGCCCCTGGAGCCTGCGGCGGGCACCTGCATGCCGGGACCATGTTCAGCCCCCTGGCAGGTGTGCGTGGCACCACCGCAGGGGCCTGGCTTTCCACAGTAGGGCATCCGCCGTTGGCTTCTAGAATGCAACCTCGTGCTGGAGGCTGCTCTGCCTCGGTGACCCGTCTATCCCCACAGGGCTGCTGCTGTGGACCAAAAGTGGGGGTGCCTGCGGGAGTGGAGCATCTCCCGTCCTGGGCGGGACCCCTGTGGACAGCAGCTGCTGCCCAGTGGCCCCTGTGACCTCTGGCCCCCGGGGTCTCCTTCTGGGGAGGAGAGGCCCTGCCAACCCCATGGCCCGAGGGGGAAGGGAAGGCTCGCTCACCCTAGGAAACTGTCTGGGGCTTGCAGGGCTCAAACACCTGCTTTTGAGGCTTTTAGAAAACAGGACTGACCCCACGCCCCAGTTGTAGGGTGCAGACAACCCTCTCCTCTGCCAAGAGGTAGGCGCTCTGCCCAGCCCGCCTGTCCTGCAATTCCTCAGATCTCAGCCCTCTCTGCCTCCGCCTCCTCCAGAGCTAAGCGGGGTCCCCTGCTGTCCTCCTCCCCCAGCCCCTGACCTCAGCCTCAACCCAGGATTGAGCTTGTGAGTGGTTTCATGTGCAGTTATTATGGTTCACTTTTAAGTATGTCCCCATCTCTATTATGAGTTTTTCATTGACTCACAAGTTAGATGTTTTTCCCCCCAGATTCGAGCTTCTAGTCACCTTTTTTAAATGCCTGGTTTCTCACTGGATTGCGTTGTCAGACACCGTGGCTGGTGTCATTCTCCGTGTGATTCTCTGATTGTGTCTGAGGCCCACTTCCGGGCTCCGGTTTGGAAAACCTTCTGAGTCACCCAGGTGTGTCGGCAGGGCACCAGCCTCCCGCGGCAGAGCCTGTGTGCAGATACCCTCCATGGTGGCCACACTTGCGTCTGCGTACTGTCGCGCTCTCCATCCCTCGACCACCGCAGTGTCCGTGCTGACATCTTGCGCCAGGGAATCGTTGCATCTCTCTCTGGTGATATCAGGTCTTCGTTGACCTAACTTACCTACATGAGGCCACGTTATTAGGTGAATACAAACTTAGGTATGAGTTATAAAACTTGTGTTGTATGTTTGTAAAAATGTGATATTTAAAATACATATAAAACAAACATTTCTCCTACTGCATATAATCACGTCGCAACCCCGTCTACCTCAGCAAGGTGTTTTGTCTTAAATTCTGTTTTGTCTTAAATTCTGTTTTCTCTGACATGAACACTAGCTACTTGTTGGCATTTGCTTAGCCTGTTTTTTTTCATTCTTTTCTTTGAAGCTTGTAGTGTCTTTGCTCTGTTGACACATCTCCTGTGCTGTGGATAGCTGACTGGGGTTTTTGTCTGTCCTTTAACTGGGCGATTATTGCAATGTACACTTTTTTCCTGTTCTTTTGTTCTGCTTATGCCTTTTTGTTCTTTTCTTGTCTTCTTTTTGGTCAGTCTATTATCATTCATTCTATTTTCTCTCAACTAGCTTGGAAGTTTTATATTTCCACGCTTTTCATGGTTATCTTAGATTTTTTTGGCCAGGCACAATGGCTCACGCCTGCAGTGGCTCATGTCAGCTCTTTGGGAAGCCGAGATGGGAGAGCTGATTGAACCCAGGAGTTCAACACCAGCCTGGGCAACATCACAAGACCTCATCTCTACAAAAATAAAAAATAAAAAAATTAGCTGGGTGTGGTGGCATGCACCTGTAGTCCTAGCTACTTGGGAGGCTGAGGTAGAAGGATCACCTGAGCTGGGGAGGCTGAGGTTGCAGTAAGCTGTGATGGTGCCACTACCCTCTAGCCTGGGTGACAGAGTGAGGCTCCCAACTCAAGATATATATTTTTTTGCTTGTTTGTTTTAATTGTTATTTTTTTAAATTATAGATGAACCCTTTTTTTAAAGAAAATCAGATATTTTTACAAAAATTACAGTGAGAAACACAGTCCCAGGCCCATCCAGGGCTTCTGCTCCTCAGTGTCTAGGGCAGACTCCATCCAGTGTCTAGGGCCGAGGTTGGCAAACTACAGCTCACAGGCCAGGTGTGGTCCCTGCCTGTTTTTGTAAGTAAAGTTTCATCGAACACAGCCACGCCAACTTATTGTTTATGGCTGTTTTCCTGCTATAACAGCAAAGGTGAGTGGGTGAGACAGAGAGTGTGCGTGGCTCCAAGGCCTAAGAACTTTGCTCTCTGGCTCTTTACAGAAAGATGCTGCCACCCTGAGCTGGAGTGGCCCTTGAGCCCTTCTCTCCTCACTACACAGTTTGGACCATGAGGAGCCATCCTGACCTTGGGATTAACACCCAGGTTCCCGAGTCGGCAGCCTGGCTGGGCACCTCAGCTCCCCAGATCCCAGCTGTGTGACTGTGGAAGGTTTTTTTAATACCTCTGTGCCTCAGTTTCCTTACCTGTAAAATGGAAACAAGAGTGGTGCACACATTAGAGGCTTACTTGAGAGTTCAACAATTAGTTGTATTGATCATACTTTGAAAAATAACCTCAGTCTTAATCTTCTTATAAGGATACCAGTCCTACAGGATTATGACCTCATTCAACGTTTTAAGCCTCCTCAAAGGTCCTATCTCCAAATAGCCACATTAGGGGTTAGGGCTGATTTGAGTTTGGGGTGAACACAAACATTCAGTCCACGACAGGCCCCAAACCAAGGGGGAGCTGGAATCTCTTCGGGCGAGACCTGCAAGTCACATACACCTCGAGCCGCTCTTGTGATCAGACAAGCTCGCGAGCCCTGCTTTAAAATCATCCATCAGTCATCTCTTGGTTTTTGTTTATGTGAACGTAACTTTACTTAGTACTCATCCTTCAGTGACAGTTTAACTGGTTAGGCAAATCCGAGCCGAGTTGGTTTCTCTCGGTATCGCGAAGGCTGAGCTGTCTTGTGACATCTGTTGCTGCGGTTCAGAACTCTGGTGTCAACCTGACAGTCACTCTTGTCGGGTGAATGAATGGTCTTTCTTCTCCACGTTGTTTTCTCTTTCTCTTTAGTAGTCTGAGTTTTTGCCATGAAGTGTCTAGCTATGAAATCCTTTTTATTTATTTATTCTGCTTCAGATTTGTGGTGATTCCTGAATCTGAGCGTGAATACCATATATTGATTTAGGAAAAGTATAGCCGTTCTCTTTCTGGATACTGTGCCTCCCACACCATCTCTGTTTTCCCCTTCTAAAATTCTGTTTGCATAGATGCTCGAGTTTTCGCACTCTGTCCTCCCTGTCTCTCAACTTTTCTTTCATGTTTTGCTTCTCTTTGACTTTGTCCTGCATTCTGGATAAATCCTTTAGAACTGCATTCCAATTACTAAATAGCTCTTCAGCTCTGTTATATCTGCTGCTTAACTCATCTATTTTGGGGTTTTGTTGTTGCTTTTAAATTTCAACAACTACATGTTTTTCTTTCTAGAATTTGTAACGAGTTCTTTTTCAAATTGATTCTCTTTTTATTATTCCTTCTTCTTGTGTTTGATTAAGTATTCCAAACATACTTACATTATTTTCTTCAGTTATTGATGCTTAAAAGACCACATGTGGCTCAAGACAGTCATCTCTTGTGATGCACATCCATAGTTTGGCCAGGGTCAGCAGGCCTAGGTCGGACTCAGCTGGGCAGCCCTGTCCACATGAATTCCATTGTCCTCCTCAGACCAGCAGCAAGCCTGGGCACTTTCCCCTCCAGGCAGTGGCAGAAGCCCAGGTAAAAACACACAGACCTCTTAGGGCCTAGACTCGGAATTGGAACGCTGTCATGTCCTTCTCATTCTGTTGGCTGAAAAAAGACACATGGGGCAGCCCACGATCAAGAGACGGGGAAAGCATTCTGTGCCCCTTTCATGCGAGCAACGATACAGTCATTCAGAGAGGAGTCAAGACTCAGGGCCCGTGATGCCATCTTCTGCACATTCTGGATCAGGTATTCCCCGAGCCTGAAATCCGTGGGATCTGTCTTGCTGCTTGGCTGCCTCTCACTCATGGGGGTCTCTTTTTGCCAACAAAAATGCATTTTCCATTGGCTTCCTCTGCGGGAGTCCTGTGTGTCCTGGGCTGAGAAAGCATGCCTCTGGAGAAAGGTTCCTCCAGAGAAAGGTTCCCTCTGGAGAACATACATGTTTGTTTCCACCAGGCTCCACACCACCAGCCTGGAAC